CCCCCCCTTTGGCTTCTTCTTCTTTCTCTCTCTCTCTCTCTCTTTCCCCTTCTTCTTCTGCTTTATGGGGTGCGGGCAATACAGGGGAGAAGCAGAGGGAAGGTTTGCAGCCAGCCAGGAAGAAAGAAAGGCACCTTCAGCTCTTCAGGGGTGGGCGATGGAGCTCTCTCTCTCAAGAACAATAGCTTCCTTTTACTTATAGAGGCACTTCAGAGTTTATTGTGTTTCCCATGTTTAATTAGCTTCATAGAATCAAGAGAACGATATAAAATTGGCTTCCATTGCCATGGCGTTGGTGCTTAAGGTGGTATGGCAGGCACCAAAAAGCTGTATTGCCCTGATGGGTGGAGGCAGGATGCAGGGAAGAGGTGGGGTCTTCTTGCCAGAAAACATGTGTGTGTGTGTGTTGTCTCTCTGCCCCTTGATGGTCAGATCTTGATCCTCACTCACCCACCCAGACATCCTGGCTCTTCCTTGAATATCCCCAAATCCGAAACCCCTTTTTTAAAAAAAACGGTGGGTGGGTGGGATTCATATACGTAATAATCTATTAATAGCTGGAATGGAAGGGAGGCCCTATGGATTGTCAAGTCAAGGGAGCGCCGTGGGGGGATTGAACCCCCAACGAAACCACCGCGTTCCTGCAAAACATGCCAAGTAGAGTGATTGGTGAGCGAACTGCACAGGGAATGGGGCTGGTTTTAAAAATCCACCCCCACCCCTACAAAGACAAAGCCTCCCACGACCCCTCCTCCTCCTCCTCCCTCCCCCAAAAGGCTGACCACCTTCCAGGTCCTCCAGAAGCAGACCGCAATTCCAGCGCGTAGTCCACTGACCGTACAGGTGGAGGGAAATCACGTTGCCCCAATGTCCCCTGGTTCCACTTCCAGCAAGGAGACGCTCTACCTCTTTCCTCCCAATCTGCTCCTTCTCTGTCCTCCAAGGAAAGTTTTCGCAAGCGGAGTGGGCGGGGCGCGAGCGGGATTTCCCAACACTAGTGGGAATAGGATAATAGGATGCAGGCTAGGTTGGTGGCGCATGGCGTGTGGGGAGGAAGGGGGAAATGGAAGTCTTTCTGTCCTGCTGCTCCCCAGGGAGAGCTTGAAAGGGGGGGGGAATCACCAAGTCCTCTCCACTCTTCTGAAAGCTTCCTAAAGTCAGTCTGAGCAGTTCGGGTGGGGGGCCAGAGGAGGCTGTTATGGTTTTGGGCCACAATTCCCCAGATTCTCTCATGCAATTCTAGGAGTGGCCGTCCAAAAACACTTGTTTCTCCATCTCTAGGGGAAAGTTCCTTTTCAACAGTAATTCTAATTGGATGAAAACACGACTGCAGCGAACAGCCCAGCCCTCACCTGTCCGTCACCACAGAACCTTGAAGAAGGAGCCAATGAGTGGATGGAAGGCAGAGCCAAGGGGGGAGGGGGCTGGATATACAGACTGGTGTATGGAGTCTGAGGGAGATTCTGGTAGAGAGAGACAGTGTGAAACTTAAAAGTTAAGAGTGAGTTAGAGATCTGTAAGAATGATGAATGGAACAGAGAATTAATAGAGTTTTAAAGTTATAGCAGATTTGATTCAAATACAAGTGATTAGCAGCCTGTGATTTTTCTCTTGAATATTAATAATATATTAAGTTCTCTGATCTAATAAACGATTTAAGTTTAAAAGCACACATCTCCATGACTAAATTGTATTAACGCAGTAATACCTGGTGGCAGTGAAGAAGGAAGAAGAGCAAGAACCTCGTGAAGTCCTCGGGGGGATAGGGGCTTCAGAGGGGATCGCCATAATGACAATTCAGGCAACAAGCCATAACGGGGGTGTGGCAACCCCAGACCTACTGGAGTATCCCACCCTGTAGTTATGCTGCCACCAACCATTCCCTATAAGGAGTCACACAGACCAGGAATGGATTTTAATAAACAAAAGAACAAAGTTTATTGAAACAACAAACAGGGTAAATAAAAGGATCA